ATGAAGCATTGATCATTAGGTTGAAGTTAGCAATCCCGATGGAAATAACTGATATTGTTGTCCATGATGACTCACAGCTTGTCATCTAACAAGTCACGGAACAGTATAAGATTTTGAAGCCAAGCTTAACAGAATATCATTAGTAGCAATGAAGCTGCTTGAACAGATCCCTAGTGTGACTTTCTACCAGAGTCATCGGGAAGATAATGCCCATGCTGATGCTTTAGTAAGACTTGCCAAGGAATTGACATGTCCCCTAGAGGATTCCATAGACATTATAGTACAATGGCATCAGGTTTTATCTCGGATCGACTTGCACAATCTACATAAGCTCAAAAAAGAAAAAGGGATGATGATTGTAGCTGCTGACATCAACAAAGATTAGTGCAAGCCATTGATAGAATTTTTGCAAACTAGAAATCTGCTAGAGAACAAGTCTGAGGCATATCTCATGATGCGCCCTAGGTCTATGTTATTTTTCTGCGTGTTTTATGTCAATTCAATTCCCCTGAGACGCTGCCAAAAACTTGACCCGACCCGTAATTACGCAGTAATTTAGCTTTCAAAAGACGGCAAAAAATTTGACCCAATTTATATTTACCAGCTAATATAAAAAATTAAAATATTATAAAATATAGCAAATAGTTCACACACTATGTGTTCTACGCAAGTGCACGTATCACTTCAAGTAATCTAGGACTTTCTGATTAAGCCCTGAATATCAATCCCATGAGAAAGCGAGGAAAGATGTTCTTACTTAAATTCCAATCTACTACTATTAGTCTTTAGTTTGAAATGTCGATTAAAATGGTATTTTATCTATGAACTACTCGTAAATGCGAATGTTAAATGTAAGAATAGTAACTATTCCTAAATGTGAATATTAATTCTAAAGATAATCTTTTCTGGATGAGTTGGTTTGGAGAATTTTAAGATATTAAAAATTACTCTTCTTATGTAGTGAATTGGATATTATAAAGGAATGAGATAAATTAAATATTATATGTGTCAATTAGGTGGAATTTTAATTCTCTACCCTCTTTTAGTTTTATAGAAAATCATTGGCTAATCTCAGGGTTAGTCCCTAAATCTGTGGTTAGGCTGGGAGGATACTGACTCTCACTCCAGAGCTCCCACTTCCCTTCCCTTGAAGGCTAA